GGGGGGATTGGGATAAATAATAGTATAATTCGTGTAAAGATTATGGAATTAGAGAATTTAGTGTTACTACGGTAACAGTATCAAAAAGCACATGAAAATGGTCACGATCGTGCAGGAGAGCTTGTTGAATCGTTTGATTTCGAAAAAATCTATTCATATTTTTAGTAAATTTGAATTTTCTTTTACATAAATTTTTAGTTAAAAAAGCTGTTTACCTTTTTCATATTTATTTTTCCATTTTCATAATCACAAAATTTTGCGAGCGACATTTTTTCACATTCACATATTCAATAAAGAAATTCATGAGGCGCCTTTTATGTAATTAAATATTTAATCCAAAAATTGATCTGATAATTTTTGTTTTATCACGATTTGAATATTCACTACCGAAATAAAGGGCTCAAATAAATCGTGGTGCATTCTGAAACTCGATTCTTGTTGGTTAGAAAACAACAAAAAATCATTGCAAAAATACAATGAATCGGTAATTGCTTATTGCTTATGGTGACCATCAGATTATCGAACAGACAGTTTAAAGAGGGTAGAGAAAACTTTAAAAGTATCCTCACTCAGAAGATTTATGAAACACTCAATCCTCAAAAAAATTCTAACTTCTTATCAAGTATCCAAGAAAACAATATAACAGATTGTTGATGAGGTTAAAGAAGAACTATCGTATACTTCATAAAGAATTAAGAAGCAAAAAAACTCTATAAGAGGTGATAATATCTTTGTTAAGGTAAGTAGTAAGTCTTTTGAGCGAATAAGATAAGCGATAAATTAAAAAATCAATTACAAATCGAAACCGATTTGTTTATCGCCATTGCATTAAAAAAAGTATGAAATATACAGACTTTTAAAAGGCTCTTTTTCATACTCTAAACACACAAAATGTATCAACGCGTACTGTACAAAAGAATAGTTCTTCGTTACTTTTTTTTAATTCATTATTTGCAAAACAGAAATTAACAAGGATAAGATACAGTAGGTTATCAAAAGGTCCGGCCAGAATTATTTTGCATTTTGTAGTAACTTTTTTAGATACTCAAAAACAGAGAAAGAATCATACCTTGCACAAAACGTTAGTTTGGTCTCGATTTGAACCCCATGGTATCAAGTGAAAGAAACTGTTCGCCGACGATCCTCTGCACCGTCTAGTCTCACAGAACTCGAAGAATACGTGAAGTGGCTTGGAAGGATCTTGCACCCGAATACTATCGAAAGCTTATCTATAGTATGCCCGAACGAAAATAATAAACAAAATAACGTTTAAATATTGCATGTATCTTCTAATCTTGTTTTGAGTTGTCAAATTTAATGCTTTGTAAGTGACCGGATCTTTATGATGGCCGCTGTATATCAAGAACAACCACAACTTTATAATGATACACTTTAAATATCACTTTATTAAATCATACTTTATTCTATTAAATGGCAAAATTCTAAAAACATGTTCTATAGGTAATTATAACGGTCTTTCGAGTTAAATTACAAAGACCAAAAGTAACTGTGCTTGTGCATATATTTATCTTTTGACAATTACGATTATTCATCTAAAATCTTATATCACGTACAATTACGAAATGGTCATCGTTTACTTGCTATGGTGCATAACATCTAAAAGTCATCAAACTTTTGTATTTTATAAAATGTATAAACTTCGTTACTAAGAAGAAAATACAAAATTTAATCCGTGAATATGCTCAGAAAAGGCCTATTCATCATATTCACGGATTAAATTTTGTATTTGCTTCTTAGTAAAGAGGCTTACCCATACAAACATTTGATGACTTTAGATGTTATGCACATGTGTTTATTAACGTTATAAATAAATCATCGTTTTTTAAATCAAACACTGTCCTAATCACTACGTAATAAACTCAAAGATGGCATTTAAAGCTTCGAATACTCATAACTGTAGTAGATGCTTGCGTTGTCAATAAAATTACTACTGCAAAGCGTGTTCAGTTCACAATACTTATGATTGTAGTAAATGTACCAAATGTCAAAAAAAGAATACTGTTATGGATGTTTTCTATATCACAAACGAATTTAAGTTGATTGGTCTAGCGGAAATAAAGATATCGACAGTCTAATAAACGAACGCAACAGCATTACTGTTTGAATATGATAAATATAACTATAAACATTTCGAATGGATCCCTTTTGAAAGATTTACCAATGTTGAATATCTTGCAAAAGAAGTTTTTGGATCAATTTATAAAGCAACCTGGTTGGACGGACTATTAAATGGCGAGTAGGATCATGAAGAAAAATAAATTTAAACGAAAGGGAAAAACCGATGTTGTGTTGAAATCATTACACAATTCAAAGCAAATTACATCCGAGTTTATAAACGAGGTAAAATGAATACTTTTAAGTGTAAGCATATCGTTTTTTTGTTTTTCAATTTATTAATTAACTTTTTCAAAATTAGATTCTGACTGCTCTAAAGTGCACTTTACATTGATTGTGGAGTAATTAAAACCCAGCTACGAATGAATACTCGATAGTGATGGATTATGCAGAAAATGGCGATCTACGCAAATACATGTGTATTAATTCTACGAATTAAATTGGGACAAAAAGTTGGAATATTACTCGAGGGTTGAATAAAATTCACAATGAGGAATTTTTGCATCGTGACTTTCACCTTGGAAATATATTAATATCGAGATCAATAGGTTTTATTGCTGCTTTTGGACTTAGCGTTAGCAAACCAGCCAATCTAAATAAAGCTAATCAATAAATTTGCGGAGTACTTCCTTATATGAACCCAAAGGTACTAAATGGAAAGCCATATACTAAGCAGCAGATACATGTAGTTATAGCTTTGGGATGATTATGTACGAGATTGCCACAGGTGAGCAACCATTTGGAGAACGAAGTCATGACATACATCTCGTATTTGACATCTATAAAGGAGTACGACCTACGATACCGAATAATGTTCCCGGATGGTGCAAATTTATTATTAAAAAATGTTGAAATTCTATTCCAGAAAACAGACCAAACTTAAAGACTTTACCAGATCCATCAATGATTCAAGTAACACCAATTACGTATGTTGTAAATTGGAAACTGAATACTTTGCATTTTAAGCACTACGTACAGTTCTTTGGAATATCCTAAAATACATGAAGAAATTAAGGAGTGTCTTAATTAGAAAAGCAGAAATTAGATGAAAGAAAGAGCCAATAGGTATTCCTACAAATACGAATAAAAAACAAAAAATCCACTCGAATGCGATTACACCAGTCGAATCTTTACTACAAAATCAATATCAGTTCCAACACAGCCATTTTTTTTATTTCTAATTAATTTCTTTAATTCATTACGTAGTACGTGACGGTAACGGTAATACCGAACCGATGTAAAACCAGAAAGTGCTGGAAAGTTGGTGATCAAATACATGTAATTTTAGGTGACGTAGATCTCCAGACCAAACCGATGTAAACCAGAAAATGCTGGAAAGTTGGTAATCAAATACATGTACATGTAATAATTTTAGGTGGCGTAGATCTCCGGAAAATCTATAAAATGTTCACGAGAAAAGTAGTTTTAAAAATAATTAACACACATTCAAATTAATAACACTTAAAATTAGTAACACTCAAATAATATCGATATTCTTGAGATTTGGTTTTAATCTGTCAACCAAAAAAGATCTTAGTTGCTTTAAATAATATCATTTTTACATTCAAAGACTCATCAAATTTTATACTATAGCAAAAAAAATGTTTGCATTCATCCCAATCGAAACCAATCACGACGACCTTGTTTTTCAGATCCCATTCAACAACTACCGCTGTCCAACAGCTAGCATGCATTGTCACCCGCACACTTACTTTAATCGTGCTCCAACACATCGACATGAATCTTATGATGCAAATAACCTAGAAAATATAATTTCGGAATTAAAGCATCTCGAACGGAAAAGAGCCGAAGAGAAAACGCTCTATGAGAAACGCCAACGTATTTATGCCGAGCGTGAAAAAGAGATACGCAAACGCGCATATCGACAGTGGATTCTTGATCAACAAGCAAAACAAGAAGCATTGAAGCATATTTTTGAGTTGAGAGCAGCTACTGCGGCATCAAATAAGGAACCAAATGTTTATAATCATTCATGCGCTCATTCTTGCCGAAAACAACAATCAAGGAAACGAACAATTTCGAAACAAGAAGCAGCAAAAAGAATTATTTTATTTATTCGTCATCGCATAGAAAATCAAACCACCTTTCTCATAATTAATAAACTAAGACAACTTCGATCCATTGAGCAGCATTTAGTTTCGCTTTTCCCGAAATCCGGATTCAATCCAAATTTAACGTTCGTAACCGAGAATGCAAAACAAATATTACCAATCACTGCAAATAATCGTGCGTTCCTCCTCAAGGAAGAATCTATTCTCAAAACCTTAGATTCATTGGATCGTATTGAAAGTAGCGGAATCGAAAGTATTCGTGAAAGAAGAAAACAAATTGTTAGAATTGCACAGAGAATGTTGGAACTTTTGGACAATATCAAGAATAAACAATGGAAAGAATTTAGTGAAAATAAACAAGAAGGATCGGAAAAGGTGGAAACTAATAATACCGAGAAAGAAGATAATAAGCCAGAAGTTATACGGATAAACAATGATGATGACTTTGAAAAATCAACTTCTCAAGAACATGAAGGTTTGGATGAAATCGTAGAATCAAATACAGAATCGAATATCGAAGTAATTACACCTTTTATCATATCTGATTCTATGGACGAAAATTTAAATAATAAATTGGACGAAAACAATATTTTAAAAACCACACACAATATTAACGATAGTCCAGCAAATAGCCAAGGAACGACTATCGCCGAAAACGAAGACACCATCTCTTTGGAATCCGTTGCTGCTAAAGAAATTGTTAATTCAGCCACTAAAAGTAATATTGAATTAGAAAAAGATGAGGAATTTGTAGTAGTGTGATATATTCAATTTCAATTTATTCTAAAATTGTATGAATTATTAGTATAAATAGAACTTTTTTTCTTAATAGTAAAATTGCAATATAAGCTTATGTTTAATTTCCAAATTTTTTTATTTCTTAGAAAATAATTCAAGATCGAGATTATCTGATTTTTAAATTGAATGGTACAATTAAATGTGTATGTATATACGCGAAGAACATGCCCACTTACCCTGAATTTTTTGGTGCATTTTTTGAGCGAATAGCGGTACTCGATGCAACATAGCATTTACAGTCAATAACACATTGAACTCGTTATCGTTATACATGTACATTCATTACGTACATGTATGATTTGCTAGTAAATTTTGATTACGTATTGATAGGTTAATTTCAATAGCATTCATTCACAGACATTATACATGTATTTGTTCAATACGGGGAATTTTGCCTATATAGCAAAATTTAATACGATTTCATTCGGATTATCTGGATGAATCCCCTACTCTAAACTTCTAATAAACGACAACTGAGATGGGATACCTGCAAGTTTCAATTTTCTGTGTCATTATAAACGTGAAGCAGTTGCATAGTAAATGGTCCTAATTGCTCAAAAACAAAGCAAATTAAATAAATTTTTTATTTGAAAGTGTGATTTATGTATGAATAAAGCTTTTTGTTCGGATGCAATAAATATGATGGTCCGATTTTCTGATATTTGCATGAATCAGACTTTTATGACTCGAGACAGATAAATGCAGCCTATTAAGCTCAGATGTATTTTTGAGTTTTGAACTATAAAGTGTTTAAAACAATAATGTTATTCAATGGTTATGCATTGTACGAATTTTCTTTTTCATAATTTCCATAAGTTTTGGAGAACGATGAATTTCATTGCAGTCTTTGTATAAGTATGGAATCAATACTGAGCTCAACATTCATGTTGCTTGAAGTTTTATGCGTTATTAAAAATATTTCTACTACTACGAGTCAGCTGTCGAAGAATTTTATTGACAATAGAAAATATAATACACTAGCAAAAGGAATAAGTAGAATTTCTATATACGTATTGTTAATTCAAGATTTCAAACAAGTCATTCCAAATCAAAAATGAAATAAAGCAATAGTTAGAAATAGAAATATACGACAAGTTAAACAGAGTTGTTAACGACGTATATACTCCAGAGCAACCCAGAGTTATAATTGAATAGAAATTGTTGATTTTATACAATGTGGAGCGTAACTCATAACGATAGTAGCGCCGTAGTATAATCTTAATATACTTTGACTTTGACTCGATAGGTAACAGTAATTCGCTCTAAATTTTTTAGTATGATAAAGAGCTCGTATTTGAAGTGCATGCTTTTTGGATGCATTGATATTACTTTAATATGTTAACGGCTTACAATTTTTTTCTCATAGATTTGAATTTATGTTTTTAACAAAAATGGTACATAAAATAAATTTTATAAGAAATCAAAATATATTGATTTTAGGTTTTTAAAGCTATTTACAGAAAATAGGTTTAAACATAGAATAGAAGAATGCATATACTGTAATAATTTTGTGGATGAGTAAATTCATATATAAATGATAAAGAAAAATCTAAATTATAATATTATATTCATTATATCAAGTCTGAAAACAACTTTGTCAGTGATTCAAGTTTTTTCTCTAATTCAACAACGCGATTTTCTAATACTCCTATTTTTTCTTTACAGCACTTATTATACTCAGCTGAAGAAAGATTAATGTCACTGATTATTGAAGATTCTACGTTAGCAGCAGCAGCAGCATTATTATTATTATTATTATTACTATTACTATGATTGAGACTCGGAACAGAAGGAAAGTCGGATTGAATGGATAGAATGGAAGAAAATAAACATTGAGAGATCCATTGTTCTGGTGTTAGATTATCAGTATTGAATATGTTTGTGACATTTGGAGTAGTGGACGCGGTGGTGTTTGTTTCATATGAAGAAGTTGATGGTAATAAAGATATTTCGTTGCTATTAAAAAGGTCAAAATTAGAGTCACTCAAGATACTCGAATTTGAAAACACAAATTCTAATGCGTCTGAATTATTTTTCGTATTGTAAGAAGAATAATCTTCGTCATCGATTGAAAACATATTTGTAACAAAAAGTGGACTTCGTTCATGGCAAATTTTGATATATAAATCTTTGGCTTCTTTTGCGATGCGATGATATTCTCGTCGTATGTGTTCCTCCTCTTTAAGCCATGATTGTTTGACCAACGTCGAAAGTTGTGGTTGTGTTATCACGGGATGTTTGCTCGAATGAAGCTCCTTGTAAAAAGCCATGCGATAAGCGATAAACGAATTGGGAATTCGTGATGTTTGTCCGCTAGTCTCTAGTTTCGCGATAGCTTTCACAATGAGATTAATTGGTGTGATTTCTGGAGGAAAACGTACCTTAACTTCTGGCATTATGTATCCTTTCTTACTTGGTGCAATTGGTCTCATTTTTTAAAAAAATTTAATAGAAATTTAGTTTGATATTATTTTGATCGAGATTTCGACGAAGTAGAGTACCCGCTATTTATAAAGAAATTTTATAATTTTTTATATGTATGTGTTTATTTATTTATAGTTATATACCATTGAAAAATTTAACAATTTGTATGCGCCAAGATTTATAAAGCGAGACTTTTAGTTTCATATCTATATCTATATCTCTGGACTATAATTTCCAGAAATATCATGTCTTTGTATGAAAAGCGGTATTTACGAAGTGTTAATAATCACAGTTAATGTTACTATAAACATACTAAGGAATTTTCGCAGACAAGTATATAATTAGTCTTTTTATTAGAATTGTCTCGTCTATTATGAAAGAAGCAACGAAAAACACATGAAATGTTTTTTGATTGTGAGGAATCGAATTCGTTCAACTTATCAAGTTTTTCTTGGCTCATTACGAACTAGCATTCAAGCAGAATATAAAACCAAGACATAATAATGTAACGTTAGAACCTAACCAAAATGGGTCGTCGATCGTCAAGTCAAATATGTAACGGAACACGAAAATTAACCATGAATATTAGCGTTAGTTCAAACAAAATAGAAGTGTTCATTTGAAACCTCGAAACCACTAAAATAATTTACAAGATTGTTTTGTGAGATAGTGATTTAAATCCGAATATACAATTAGTAAATTTCTCACATTGAACAACTTTTTTTCCAAGACAGATCCTAATTTAAACCACTAATTAAAAATGTTCTCTATGAAATCTACATACATGTATTTACCAATTTTCATAAAAATTGACCCAAATTTACTGAGATTTAAGATCAAAAGGTCCGAACATATGCCATGAGCATTAATGCTCCTAGCATAGATTCGGACTTTAGTATCTTAAAAATTGAGCCAATTTTATGAAAATTGGTATATTCACAAAACAATCTTGTCAAATTATTTTAGTGGTTTCAAGGTTTCAAAACAAGTTTATTTTGTTTGAAATAATAGTCATGGAAATGAAAATTTAATATATCATACTTAGAAAGTTAATTTTCATGTTCCGTTACATGCATGAGTTACTGTTGGAAAATTTGTTCGAGTTACTACGTACATGTAACGTTAATCTTTCCTTTTTCCGAGTACATTATGTATCGGTATTGCCAATAAATTCCGAAAAATATCGATATGACGAATAAATCTTGGGCGGAGTTCAAAAAATAGATTTCAAAATTTCTTGGGTAAATCGACTCTGCACCATTCTAGAAGTCAATACATACATACTCTATATTTTACGTATACTGTATCTGAAATTTGAGATTAGATAATACCGGTCGCAGATTATGTCCGTTAATTCACAGTAGAGATTGGACCCGTCTAAAAAAATACAACCCGCGGGTTACCGGGTAAGGATTTTACCCGTTGTACCCACCCGTAATTCAAATTTTATGAATTTCATAAAAATCTATAAAAAATTTATTTGTGCTCAATATTTCTAATAAATTTTATTAGACCTATTATAGATTTCAGACGCTAAAAAAGTTCTTTTGGAAATAATTTGACCTACATTTAACCTGATTTTAATATTACATTCTAGGTTAACAAATTCAGATTCTGAGTTAGATTGGCCTAGCAAATGAACTCGATGCTGGAACTAACCGACACGTTGTCCCACCCACATCCACCCGGGTAGCTACACCCGCAGGTAATCCGGTTATACCTAACACCGAGTCCAATCTCTAATTTACAGGACAGGAACTGTCTTAAAAAGCAATTGTCATGAATAGCATCAAAAGTAAAAATAGGGCAAGTGGTAGTATTCCTATGAACCGAACCGAACCGGACTTTTGCCTGGGTTCGAGTCTGGTTTGAAATTCGAACCGCACTCGAACCGGACTTTGGCTTGAGTTAAAAAAAGGTTCAATGTTTCAACTGAACTCAAACGGAACCATTGTACGAGTTCGAGTCTAGTTCTGGTTCGAATCGAGATTGGCATATAGTATCATATACCATTTTATAGCTCTAAAGTGACATACAACTTTATTTATAAGTACAAATTATAGTATTTACTAAGAAATAAAAGTTTACTTAGTGATAATTAAATTATTGTTATTTTGCATTTATTAAATGTTATCGTAAATTCTTTATTTATTATTAATATATACTATATTATACCATTTATAACCCATATTACTGGCTACAACTTTGCTTAAAAATAGTTTATAGTTACTATTGAAATATCAATATATAAATAAAGTTAATTAAAATTGTAAATAATTAAAAATATTTTTTAAACCTATATAACATTTTAAATATTAACTATCTTATATCAATTTGTAGCTCTAGTTATGATCTACAACTATAATTAGAACATTATCAAACATTTACTTGAACTCAAACTGGACTTTTGATCAGGTTTGTGTCAGGTTTGAAGTTTGAACTGAACTCAAACCAGACTTTTAATTGGATTCAAATTTTTGAACCAAATTTTTGGTCAGATTTGAGTCTGGTTCAAGCTTATACTGAACTAGACTTTTTTTAGAACTCTAGCAAGTAAATAATTAAATAAAAGAATAAGATAAACTTAAAATAAAAATAGAATATTTGCTAAAAAAAATAATAGAATTGGACTTATTGAGACTGTCAATAGAGAAAATAAACAAAATTATAGTGTATAAACTCTAAAATTATCAAATATTTATATTTTATAAAATGTAAAAACTTTTTCACTAAGAAGTAATTACAAAATTTAATCTGTAAATATGATAAAATAGATTTTTTCTAAGTATATTTACAGATTAAATTTTGTATTACTTCTTAGTAAAAAAATTTATATATTTTATAAAAATACAAATATTTTATAAAATACAAATATATGATGACTTTAGATTTTATGTACCATATTTATTTAATAAATTTTAAACAATTATAAAAAAAATATAAGATTTAAATCTTTTTGATAAATTATACTTTTCATTGAATCATTTACAAAAAAAAATTTACAGAAATAAATAAAAAAGTAGTTTTTGTTAATGTTCTTATAAATTGAACTGAATTAGATTTTTGTCTAAATTTGAATTGAACTTGAATAAAACTTTGATTTGAGTTCAAGTAAGATTCAAAGTTCAAACTGAATTATTATATGAGTTTGAGTCTGATTTGAGATTAATATATATTATTATATACTAATTTATAGCTCTAAATATAAATTATAACTTTATTTATAACTATAATTTATAGTATTTAATAAAAATTAAAAGTTTATTTAGTAATAACTAAAATATTTTCATTTTATATTTATTAAATTTTATTATAAATTTAATATAACTTTTTGAATATTTATTATTAATAGTAATTATTTTATATTAATTTGTAATTCTTATTTCTAATTATAATATAGCTTAAAATTGTAATTTATAATTATTATTAAAAAATTAATATTTATTATAATATAAATAAAGTAAATTAAAATTATAAATAATCAAAAATATTTTTTAAACTTGTATAATTTTTTGAATATTTATTTTAAATATTTATTAACTTATATTAATAGTTTTAGTTATAATTTATAACTTTAATTATAATTTTTATTTTAAATATTTATTATCTTATATTAATAATTTATAAATTTTATAAATATTTGTTTGAACTTGAATTAGACTTTTGATCAAATTCAATTTTAGTTCAAAGTTTAAATTAACTCAAATTAAACTTTTAATTAGATTCAAATTTTTAAATTAGACTTTTAAATAAATTCATCAAATTTAAACTAAATTAGACTTTTTTTAGAATCTTTAGAATCTTAACTTCTGTTTATATATTATTTTCTTTATAAAATTTATTAATATATAAAAAGTAATTTAATAATATATTTAAATTTAATTAATATATTTAAATTTAATTAATATATATTTAATATTTTATAAATATTTACAAATACAATATAATTACAAATTCTTTTAAAATAATATAATATATAATTATTATATTTAAAAATTTAATAAAATTATTAATTTTATATTTGCTAAATGTATAAATTAAGTAATTATAGTAACTTTTAAAATTATAAAATATATATATAATTTTATTAATAAATACAGTCAAATCTCTCTATAGTTATCATCTTTAGAAAAGCAAAATTTGGTGATTATAGAGAGGATGTAACTATAAAGAGATTTTTTTACTATATTTATATATAAATAGAAAAGCAAAATAAGGTAACTATAGAGAAATGTGACTATAAACATATGTGATTATAGAGATATTTGAATGTATAATAAAAATTAAAAGATTTGTTTTATATAAAAAATTTTAATTTTATTTTTTATTTTTATATTAAAACAAAGATTATAAGTTATAATTTAATATAAATTTTTCTGAATTTTTAGATTTTTTTTTTGACAAAGTTATTTTAATTGCAAAAAAATTTTTTATAATTAATTTTACATTTTAATTATAAAAAATTTTTGTAATAACTTTGCAATTAGAGCAAATTTATCAGAAAAAATCTAAAAAATCCAGAAAAATATATATTAAGCTATAATTTATATAATATAAAAAATATTTATTAATAAAATTAAAAACTTTTGTATATTAACCTATAATAAATTATCATGCATATAAAAATTTTGATAGTAAAATCTAGTAAAAATTAAAATTTTTGCTTTGTAAAGAAGATATTATTTTAATTAATAAATATTTTTGTTTTTATATTCAAATAAAACTAAAAATCTATATTTTAATATATATTTTTTATAGATTTTTTCTTCTATTTGTAAAATATCTGCAAAATTTTATATAATTAAAATTTAATTTTAACTTTAAAAAATTTATTGCAGATATTTTACAATAAGAGAATTTTATGAAATAAAATCTAAAAAATTCACAGAAAATATTTATTAATTAAATAAAAATCTTTTTATAAAGTGAAACTTTCAATTTTTGCTAGATTTTATTATCAAATTTTTATATGCATGGTAATTTATCATAAATTAGTATATAAAACAAAAATTTTAATTTTTACTATATTTTATTAATAAAATTATACATATAATTTCATAATTTTTTATATTAATATATCTAATAATAATTTATTAAATTTAATTATTATACAAGTATGATTTTACAATATATATATATTATTTTGTACTATTAATATTAAATTATTAAAAATGAATTTGAAAAATAAATTCATGATATTTTATAATTTTTTACATAATTAGCATTGAAAAATTTGTATAGTTAATAATAATACAAGATTAAAAAAAATTATTTATAATTATAATATTAAATTGAAAAAAATAATACTTATTTTATAAGAAATATTATTCATATAAATTTATAGAAAAATAAATTTTTATAATATATATATTAAACCTATTAATTTTATTATAAAAGTTTTATTTATATAGTAATATATTCAAAAAATATATTATTCCAATAGTTACTAATAGATCTAAACAAATTTATTTTAAAATATCTATTTTATATTATTTATTATATTATAATTTCGTAACTATTACCAATACTATTTATCTTTTTTTTGTTATAGATTCTTGATATATTTTATTAAATAAGTAAAAATTAGTATTTTTGTCAGTATTAGCAGCCATTTTTTTAGTTATATATAAATATATTTTTGGAGAACAGAAATTTCTTGCGCAAAAATCTAAATTATAATATATCAAAGAAAATTTTCATAATAATTAAAGCAAAATTTGGATCTTTATACAAAAATACTGAATATTTTGTATTCAAAAATCTTTTCAACAATATAATTTTCTTAATTTGAATATTTATTCTATATTTTTTCAATTTAGTAATTTTAATACTTATTTAGAATCTTGTTTTCATATTAAATAATTTTTCTTAGATTTTATCACAGAAATCATAACAAGATATTATTAATCTTTTTTTATAATGTTTACTGAACTTGAATAATCGAGTAATGGTCAAAGCTTGACTTCATACCATTTGAAAAATTGCTGATTGATTGATACTCATTTATTTTTTAGGTATTTATCCATGCTACATTGGTAATGGTGATGCCCAAAGACTTGTACGCCTTTGTTTCAATCTCGATAACCTCATTTCCCGGACGACTCAAGCTTCTGCTCGAAAACAGAATTCTATGCGCTGGGCCCAAGCACGCATTCGACAATGTATTCGCAATTTTCATTGACGAAGATCGCATTGTGGCTCGTACGTATTTTGATGTAATTGTCATTCCAGCTTTTAATGGTGGCCAGATAGCTTGTCGGCGACATCGTAAGATTAACAGCAAGATTAAAATGATGACTTGGGCACACAGACAGTTTCGCCAAGGGCTGATTTCAAAGGCCCAAGAGCTTAATAAGGATGTTGTGGTGGTTAATGAGGCATATACGAGCAAGACATGTAGCAATTGTGAGTGGATACACCAGAGGTTAGGTGAACGAAAGACATTTAGATGTGGAGGGTGCGGATTGGAGATAGAGATATCAATGACGCCCGAGGGATCTTCCTTCGAACTTTGTTGGATGGGACTAACATATTATAAGGTGCAAGTTGGATGATTATAGGTGGTTTGTCTATTAATGGCCAACGCTGTCTATCATTGTCTAATTGTCACAACAGTCAATTAGTGACTCCGGTGTAGAGTGTAAATAGCTTTTACTGTATTCGTATTACAACATACCGATACTACTGTATTCTGTACCATTTATCGGATCGAACATGCAGAGAAATTAATCAATAGTACACACAAGATGATGAGAACTTGTAAATTTGAATTCGTTGTTTTTAAATTATAAACATTCGAAGGAGTTAAAGCTTTGTAAATTACTCTATATTAAATGTTTTCTTTTACTAATAAAGAAATTTTAATAATCATTTTGAGTCATGCAAGTAATGTGTCAAATTTGATCGCTGGGATTTGGAAATATGGTAAAAACTATATTACAAGATAAATGTTGGTTTGCTAATATAATTTATAGATGTTTATTTCTTTAGTTGCATTTGAATCCAATTTTAAAAACGGTTAGAAAGGTCGAGACAAATTTCTCAGGCCAAACAGCCAACAAGATGTCTCAGCTGTCTTTTTATCATATGTTTCTGACACTAGCAATACTTATAGAAGTTACTATCGTTATATACATGTACATGTCAGTATGTATTTAATTTCGGTCATTTGGCTTCATAAAGGTAATGATACATTTGACTTTGCATACTGATATGCACAAAAATTTCTATTTTTAATCATATACCTGCGTTTAATTCAAGAAAGTCAAAAATTTTATTTAGCTTTGTAGATTAGCATTGTTCATACTGATTACAAGGACTTTTAAAATTAAATGAAATTTAAAATACAGATTTTAAAAGGTCTGGAGCGATCTGATTGGTGTGCAGGGCTTCTTAATTAACCTTGCATACACGTGTTTTTTTACATTTACCCAAAATATATAATATTAATTAATTGCATAAGATAAAATTCCAAAAAAAGTTCTCGGAACTTACCGTTACGTATTGTCTGACTAACCTAAGTGGCCATTATTACATTGTAAACTCAGGTTCTAATTATCCAATTAAAATGCAGTTGTTACAAATACGTACATTTATTCATTAAAAAAATCAATGTCTATAAAAGATAAATTCTCAGTTTAAATAAAAAACGATTAATTAATTAATCGCCCAAATTTTCGAAATTATGTCAACACTTAAAGACAATGATACAATTTTTTTCTACCGGTATATGGACAGCTGGTTGTTATCATTGCCAGTCTTTCTTATAATTACCTATGTTGCCAAATTTTACTTCCAATACTTTACACGCGAGAATCCACTGCCTGGCCCAATGCCGTTTCCAGTTATAGGTAATGTTATTCAGATGAGAGGACATCCAGGGAAATTCGCAGTCGCAATGCAAGAGAAATACGGCGAAATCTGGGAAGCGTATATTGGAACCGAAAGAACTATATTTCTTTGTCGCGACGATTTAATTGCAAATATGATGAGTTCATCCACAAAAACCAACTTTTTTAATAGGGTATTAATTTTTTGCACTTTATTTGAACAAGTATTGTAACTCTAAATTCTAATGACTTGAATTCTATTTAGAATAATAACGAAGGATTAAAAGAAATGGGTGTTCATATGGAAGGCATTGTCTTCAATCGAGACATGCAAGTCTGGCGCATGAATCGAAAATTGCTCACTCATTCAATAATGCCACCAAACTATTTAAAAGAATTCGTGCAAGTGACTCAGACAATATTCAACGAAGTAGAAAACTACTGGGAACAACTTGGCCTAGACTTGGAAATAGATATCGCGCAATGGATGCCTCGTTTTACTACCGATATCACAGTAAAAACTACGACCGGAAAGCCATTTCACTCACTCCTAGCATACTACAACACACAATCATCAACCAAAGACAATAATATAGAAGTTCCTATTTCTAAATTGATAGAATCCGAAGAACTCTCTCACGCAATAAGAGAATGGAATAGAATGCTTGTTTATTATCTGTATACCCCTAAGTTTATTCGTCATTATATTCCAGTGTTTCGACAAATAACGCATAAGTATATTGATAATAGAGCGCGATTGAATAAGAAGATATTAAAAATCGTCGCAGAAAGACGAGAAGAGATTGAAAGTTCGCCTACTGCACCGTCACAAAATGATGTTTTGACTTCATTGTTGACTTATAATACTCCTCGCGATATAACTCGATCGTCTACTAAAGATGGAGATATGAGACCTTTAACAGACAATGAAATCAGAGCAGTTATGATCGAGATTTTCGTGGGTGGAATTGACACAGTAATTATCTTAAATGCATACAATATTTATAATAATCATTGTATTTTCCAGTAATCATTTGTTTACTTTTTATTTAGAGTGCACATTCATTTAGTTTCGTAATATACTATATTTGTCAAAATCCGTATGTTAAATTACAACTCGAGAAAGAAATTAGCCAAGTCTTTGGAAACAACTTAATAACCAAACAATACAAAATAACCTACGAAGATATAGAGAAACTTGTCTACACCGAAGCGGTCATAAAAGAAGCAGCAAGGCTTACACCCGTGGTGCCTATAATAACCAAAGAAACAAGTCATGAAGAAGAGATCGGCGGCTACAAATATAAAGCTGGCACAAAGTTTGGTGCAAGCTTTATAGGAATACACCTAAGCACACGGTATTGGCAAGACCCAAAGAAATTTATGCCAGAACGGTTTCTTAAAAAAGTAAGTGATAGTAATGGAACTGTTCGGTATGAAGCAGGCAATAACATCAAGAAGAATACCTATATGCCGTTTGGTGGTGGTGTTCGTATATGTCCCGGGAGAAATGTTGCTATGACAGAAATGAAAGCTTTAACGGTGTTATTGTTTGGAAGATATGATGTCAGGTTGGTGGACCCTAAAGCGCCACTAGCATATTCTTTTGCACCGGCTATTCAGTGTGATGAATTGAAGCTTTTTATTCGCCCAAGGAAAATTTAATTTTAAATTGATTTGTATATTGAATTTATGGGTGTCAATCATGATGTAATTATAATTTTTGAAACTACCCACAAAATTTACCGTAGAGTGCTGACTATAGTATCCTGGGTATTTACAAGTTGTGCCTTATTAACTAATAACATCAATACATATAATATCTATAAAATGACGTGTTATTGCAAAAAGAATCTGACCAATCAGAACTCTATTTTTATAATTTAATATTAGTAATTTCACAAATTTATATCCATCAAATCACAGATTAATCAAAAGCTATTAAATTATTATCTTTCCTCTTTAAATTATAACACATAATCAGAGCGTGGCAGAAATTTTTTCTCCTTATATCGTTTTGTCCTTAAAACTTTTGTTTTCAAACATCACAACCGCCAAAAGACTTCTGGTTTCGAAACGCTTTAACAGCTATTGCATTATTCTTGACAGGTATTTCAGCATCTTTATTAACTGCAAAAATATATAAAGTATCTTTGAATGTGCATTCGAGTTTCGTGTTATAAGCAAAACTTACTGACTTCTGCATGTTGCTTTCTGCATCTAAAGCACCCAAATTTTTCGGCGTCTCAGCTAGCACAATTCGGCGGCGCTGGAATAGAGAGGACAAAATACACGTTTCTAGACTTCCCTTGGGGCAAAGAACCTATAATGTCGAATCCATGCTCAGAAACCACAGTGCTATGATTCTACCACCACCATCACCGCCTCATCCACCTTGGCGTCCCAATGTGAATGCTTTGTTTACGCGAGAATCTCCAGCCTGAAACGGAAAGAAGAACTTGAAGGTAGAAACAGTATCTTCTCTCAAACCATCACCTCGTCTCCAATATCGGCTCCGATATTAACTTCAAGAGATCCGGACTGCGTTTCCTATTGGAATGATCGAGTCGCGAACTGATCAAGGAGATTGTGGTTAGGCTCTGTAGGTTCACCTTCGATCTCATCGAGTTCATCTTCCACTCGGTAGAGCTTGATATTAAGTAGTACAAAATTAAGATTTTGATTGGCTAGAAGATTTTATCCGGGGGGGGAGACATCTATACTTATTGTAATTAATTTTTTATTTATAATAACTATATTTTTCACATATTGGTCAAAAAAAACATCTAAATATTTTGGTTAATAAGTACTTCTCTAATACCAATATCAATTAATAACTTCTTTTATAAATATATATCTCTTAAGTATTACCTAAACTATAATCTCTCAAATTTTATTAACTACAACAAGTATTGCAATTGTTGTTTCTGACAATGAATTTTTTTTCTCTATAGAAAGTAAAGATTAACAAAAAAATAATCATAAAACTTATAAAACTATTAATATTTAAAATAAAAAAAATATGAAAAGAAAATGTCATATTTATAAAAAGAATATGTTAAATATTAAAAAAAATAATTCAGAATTTATAAATATTAATTTTGATATAATCATATTAATATTTAATATAATATTACAAAAATAAAACAACAAATTAATAATAGCTTTGCTATAGTACATAAAATTTAAGTTATCAAATATTTGTATTTTATAAAATATATAAACTTCTTTATTAATAAGTAAATACAAAATTTAATTTATAAATATACTTAGAAGAATCTATTCTATTATATTTATAATAGTATTTTTATAAACTGAATCAGAACAGACTTTTATCTGGATTAAAGTTTGGTTTAAAATTCAAACTAAGCTCAAATCAAAATTCGACTTGAGTTCAAAAAAAGTTTCAACTAAATTTAAATTGAACTATTATATAAGTTCGAGTCTAATTCAAGTTTGAATTAAAATTAATATATAGTATCATATATTAATTTATAGCTCTAATTTGAGTTATAGCTTTATTTATAAGTATAAATTATAGTATTTATTAAGAAATAAATGTTACTCAGACAATTAAATTATTTTATTTTTGTATTTATTAAAATTTATTATAAATTTTATATAACTTTTTAAATATTTATTATTAATATATATTATCTTATATTAGTTTGTAGTTCATATTATTAACTAAAATTTTGCTTAATATTATAATTTATAATTGCTATTAAAAAATCAATGTCTCTTATAATATAAAGTTAATTAAAATTATAAATAATTAAAAATATTTTTTAAAATTATATAACTTTTTTGAATATTCATTTTAAATATTAATTATCTTATATCAATTTGTAATTTTGATTATAATTTACAAGTTTACTTGAAATATTATTGAATGTTTACTTGAATTTAAACTTGACTTTTTATTAAATTCAAAATTAAAACTAAATTTGAACTAGATTTTTAATTGAATTCAAATTTTTGAACCAGATTTTTTGTCAAATTTAAGTCTGATTCAAGTTCAAATTGAACTAGGCTTTTTTACAGAATTCTAATTCACAGATTAAATTTGCATTTACTTTTTGTTTATATATTTTATAAAAGACAAATATTTGATAATGTTATAGCAATTCTGAATAATGGGTTTTACTGAGAATACTATAAGTATATGATGTTGAAAGAGGGATGATTAAACTTAAGTAAAGAGAATGAATTATAAATATTGTCACTAATTCAATATCGACTATAATTTCATATAAAGAACATGTGAACAAAAGATACAGCATGATAAAAATTAGTCACAATGATATTTAGACTACGTAATTGATCTGATAATATTTTACTTCCTTCTATTTCTTTCTATTTTCTTTTTTCTTTCTCGTATTATCTATTTTTCTATATTTATCTTATTGTTATCTTTATTTGAATATATTTATCATGCCATTTTCTTGGCAAATTTCATCATTATCTATATTAGTTTAGTCTTTATTTTCTATTTTTGCTATTGGTATTTAGA